AAAATGCTTTCAGACTTTGAAAGAAAGTGAAAGGATGGGTGAAGGACAAAAAGGGGGAAATGCCGAACTTGGGTGGCACCAGTCTCTTTGCAGTGGTGCCCAGCGCCAGGACAAGGGGCCGTGGGCACAAACTGAAGCGGAAGAGGTTCCAGTTGAACGGGAGGAAAGACTGCTTTGCTCTGAGGGTGCCCGAGCCCTGGCCCAGGCTGCCCAGGGGGCTGTGGAGTCTCCTTCTCTGGAGATCTTCACCCCCTGCCTGGACGAAGTCCTGTGTAACGTGCTCTAGGAGAGCCTGCTTGGGCAGGGGGGTGGCACTGGGTGAGCTCCCGGGGTCCCTTCCAGCCCCTGCCATGCTGGGATTCTGTGTGATTCTGTGGTTCCTATAAAGAACCTGTAATTGCGTGAGGAAACGCAAGCCTGCCGAACCCTGCTGTGCTGTTAATGTAGCGGTCACCTGGTGAGAGGAAAAAGGCAAATGCCCCTCCTCAGAGTTCGGGAAGCCCTGCTGTATGCCACGGAGGTCAGCGAAGTGAATTTAGTATTTTCGGGGTAAACTACACCCAACCTCCTTTTAACTTTTCCTTACCTGTTCAAAGGAGTGGCGTGGTGCATCTGTAGGGAAGAGAACCTGTGGCCACGTCTCAAGAAACCCTGCATTCTAAAGCAATCCAGGCGTAGCTGGATTTTTCCAAGGTCTATCACATTCTTAATTTGCTTTCTAGATGTACAAGTGCCTGAAATTAAACATCTTGGTTCATGAAAAAAATATAAAGTAAAATGTTATTTGTTCTAAATGTTAATTACATGAGGCCCTCTCTCTTCAAGAACCAAAGTAGTGCGTTGGCTTCTCACTTAGAGGAAACTTTCTCCAAGTATCTTACCGAGTAAAGTTCTTGAGGTGGTTAATGCTCAGAACGTGGTGTTGTTGGAGTAGGTGGCGTTGCCTAGGGGAGCAAAAACGGCCACGGGGAAGAAAACCCAAACGCAACCTCCTTCTTAATTGTGCCAGCCTTGAGGCAAAAACCCACCAGCAGCGTCCAGACTGGAGGAGCTGCAGAGGCAAGCGTGGTGCTAGCCCCTGCCAGTGGGTACGAAAGTCCTGCGATGAAGTATGAAAGAGCCAGTTTAAGTTAGGGACAGGGAAATGGGATCCTGTGATTTACGAGCTCTCGCTGAGGACACCATGCAGGTGGTGGACTCAGACATGTGCTGATGTTATTCCAAGTCGCTGTGCTGCTCAAGAGGGGGAAAGGGGCCTGATGCTTGAAATCTGGAAAAAGGAATGGCCATGTCTGTTTTCCTAAGTGCCGTTTGGTTTCTGGTAACCATCAGAAAGCTGTGTTGCTCTGTCCTGCGCAGGCTGGGAGCTCCTGGGGATACATTACCAAGCTGGTGGAGCTCCACAGGTCACTTTTTTGGCATAGGCTACATTGGACAGCATGTCCTGCGTGTGGATTCATCGCCGCTGTGTCCTGTAGGGCCCAGGTAAGGGTTGGTTGCCTGGTTTGAGGTGGAGCACAATATACTGAGAGTATTTGTTCCAACAGACCACGAAAGTCCATCTTTAAGATAAGCACACAGAGAACCTGCAGTTTGTGCTCTCTTCTCCCCCTTCTTTCAACCCTTGAGTAACTAAAATCCCCTTTTCTTGTACACCAGTCGGGCTGGGAAGCTGTCTGAGAGAATATCCTGCTGCCAGATGCTCTTTTTTTTATTCTAACACAGTTGTTTTTCTCTTCACTTGATAAAGTTAAAATAAACAGTCTCTGGGGTGAATTACAGGCATCAAAATTGGATTGGCATACAAACTGTAGAGCAGTTGGTGGTTGGGAGTCTGGGGAAAAAGAAACAGCAGGTTTTAGCTAGAGGGGACAACAGCTTTATTTCCCTCTTGGTCCTTGACAACTAAGCAGATGTCCTACAATTATTGTTTTACCTTCTAGTAATATAGAGTCTTTCCTATCCTCCCAGGTACGCGACTGGCTCTTTTGCAGATGTGCAAGTACATCTCTTTCCTAGTTCAAAGCCGTCTTGGTGCACCACTAGCTCCATCTATTGCCCGTTAATCGCTGGCTGAGATTCAGGCAAATGCTTGTTTCTCCCTCTCGACTGTATAGGATACCTATTTCCAGTCCCATCTATGTAGATACAACGGATGGTCTTAAGAATAAGAACTTTTCTGAACACCTTACGTGGGCTTTTTCATACCTGTTGTATTGCAAACTTTGCTTCTGGGTTGATGCCCTCCACTGCGTACGCAGAGAAGTCTTGTTCATGTTTTCTGCAGTCCTTCAGAGTCCTCAAGGGCTGTCGTTCTCAGGACCACTAAACCCTGACAACTGCCCTGTGTTCCTCTGAAGAGATGACGGGGTAATGGGTGGTGTCACGACACATAACCACTATCTTTGGCTGCCCACTGCGCTAGGTTGGAAGAGAAATAATGCGATGGTCCTGTTCTGAAGAGCTTGGTAAGTCTAAAAGTATTAGAAGAAAGCACACTGGGGAAAAGGGTGCCAAGTTAAATGAATTCTTAAGGTTGTGGGCTAACATGTAAAGGAGTGCTTGCATGGTCTCCTGACTGACAGCACATGGTCTGCTCAGCAGTGAGGAAGGTCACTGCGCTGTCTGAAATACTCTCTTTGAAATCTAAGGCCACGCACTTTCCAGGCTTACCTTCACCTGGTGTGATGGATTGTGCTGACGCCCAAAGAATCCAAACTTTTTATTTTTGAAAGCAGTCCTGAAGTCTGTTTCGAGCCCTAACAAAACTGCAATCCAGGTTTCTCATCCTACAAGACATCTGACAGGGAAGTTAAATAGCACTCCAGGCGCATTTTTAAAATCTTACTTGGGACACAAAGAATGCTAGTGTTTTTCTCAACAGGTGGGCATCCAAGCTGAAGCCTATGCCTTTACAGCATGTGTGTGTGTGTAATGTATAAACTCCCAGGTATTTTAGTGTCTACATTTACACCCTGCCTGGTTTCCCAGTTCTGTATTCAGTGCTTTCTTTGTGCCTGAGTGGCAAATGACATCTTAAATTCTTGGGCCTTACTTAAAGAGGCATTGGGTAACTTGGAATGTTTAACAAAATCTGCAGCCCAGTTTTACGCTGCAAAGCTTGCGCCTGCTCTTGCGGTATGAGAGACAGACGTGCTGTTTCTTCAGGGTAACAAGTGTAAATCATCAGTCCATTTTTTGCTCTCTAGAATAAGGGAGTTGCAAAAAGCCAAGCCTTAGCAGATGAGGTTTGTGATCCTGCAGAGACAGGATCGGGTTTATGTGATGGGGCAGAGCGATGGGCAGAGGGTTTCTGTTGTTCCAGCACCCTCTGATGGAATAACTTGGCACCTAAACCTGCTTGTTGAAGGTTTTTCAAAGGACAGACAGACAACCCTGATAGTCACAGTCAGCCCAACAGCCGCACTCAGAGACAGCCTCGAGCGCTTTGTAGTACGGCAGTAAAGCCCTCAGCTCTGCTAGGTAAAAGTCAGCAAGGATCCCAGTATAGCACTGGTGGGAGTGTGGTGCCCAGTAGCTTGTGGCTATGGGACTGGTGCCTATGACCGTTCAAAATGAAAGGTGACAAATCCGCTCACGGAACTGCTGCCCTGAGGCTCAGCGCCCGCCTGCAGAGCCCGTGGGAGAATGTACTGGGGCCCTGCACACCCAAACCTGCATGGGACTGATCCTCATTAGAGCTGACCAGAGCCCATGCAAATCATCCAGAAGCTGAAAGCACACATTGGGGTTGTGCCTGAGCCCTGGTCACGGCCGTGTCTCGTGCATATTCCAACAAGCGCACCCACTCGTTCCCAAACTAGCCAGCAACTCCGGTAATGTCCCAAGGTGAACTTGTGGTAGGAGCGGAGCCAGGCAGAGAGATGAGATAATCACTGAACTG